TTTTCAGTACTGGCTATTGTAAGTAAAGCTACTATGAATATTCTCATCCATGTATTTCGGTACCTGAATGTCCTGCATTGTTATTGGGCAGGCAAATTCATAAGGGTGGAATTTATTGATCAAAAGGAATCTGTATGTTTAACTTTAGTAGATACTATCAAAGAACTTTAAATCCCATTTGGGAATACCAGACCACCTGACCTGCCTCTTGAGAAACCTATATGCAGGTCAGGAAGCAACAGTTAGAACTGGACATGGAACACAGACTGGTTCCAAATAGGAAAAGGAGTACGTCAAGGCTGTATATTGTCACCCTGCTTATTTAATTTATATGCAGAGTACATCATGAGAAACGCTGGGCTGGAGGAAGCACAGCTGGAATCAAGATTGCCGGGAGAAATATCAATAACCTCGGATATGCAGATGACACCACCCTTATGGGAGAAAGTGAAGAGGAACTAAAAAAGCCTCTTGATGAAAGTTGAAAGAGGAGAGTGAAAAAGTGGCTTAAAGCTTAACATTCAGAAAACTAAGATCATGTCATCAATTCCCATCACTTCATGGGAAATAGATGGGGAGACAGTGGAAACAGTGTCAGACTTTATTTTTTGGGGCTCCAAAATCACTGCAGATGGTGACTGCAGCCATGAAATTAAAAGATGCTTACTCCTTGGAAGGAAAGTTATGACCAACCTGGATAGCATATTAAAAAGCAGAGACATTACTTTGCCAACAAAGGTCCCTCTAGTCAAGGCTATGGTTTTTCCAGTGGTCATGTATGGATGTGAGAGTTGGACTGTGAAGAAGAATTGGACTGTAAGAGTTGGACTGAGCACCGAAGAATTGATGCTTTTGAACTGTGGTGTTGGAGAAGACTCTTGAGAGTCCCTTGGACAGCTAGGAGATCCAACCAGTTCATCCTAAAGGACATCAGTTCCTGGGTGTTCATTGGAAGGACTGATACTAAAGCTGAAACTCCAGTACTTTGGCCACCTCATGAGAAGAGTTGACTCATTAGAAAAGACCCTGATGCTGGGAGGGATCGAGGGCAGGAGGAAAAGGGGACGATGGAGGATGAGATGGTTGGATGGCATCACTGACTCGATGGGCATGAGTTTGAGTAAACTCCGGGACTTGGTGATGGACAGGGAGGCCTGGCGGGCTGTGGTTCATGGGGTTGCAGAGTCACATATAACTGAGCGACTGAACTGAACTGAACTTGCATAATTAAAGGAAGATCTTCAGGATCCACAGCCAATCTGGGTTACTTAGGAAGTAAAAGAGGGCTTGATGATTTGGGGACTTTCTTAGTATCCCTCTTCTCTGCTTATTCTCTTATTTCATGAGGGTTTTCTCAACATGGCAGGGGTCATGACCCCATGGTTCTGGGGTCATATCTTTACAACTTCCATCAGATGAGAAAAAATAAACCTAATCTTTTTAGAAATATCCTAGCTCAGGCCACATTCCTCCTATACTCTGCAGCTGGGGAGATGATTATTTTTGGCCAGGTCATTCAATATATGCCCATATTAATAATCATGGGACAGAAGTTATCACCAGAAAAGGGAAGCTACAATGACATATTACGTTTATTTTTAAATATTATTTTTATCCCTATTTTACGAAGGGTAAAATAGGATCTAAGATAAAATAGATTGTCAATAGCTAGATTCTTTTTTAAAAAAGCAATTAAAAATTTTGCATGAACAGCATTCATGGAAATGAAAATGAAGGAGAAGAAGCCAAATGACAAGGATTCAGTCACCCTAACACCCTGACAAGTCAAACTGAGTTTTACCTTCTAGTTCTTGTCACTATGCAGACATAATTTTAAAGTTTTAATTACTGTGTCAAAAGATGTTCTGTTTTCATTTAATAGCTTTTCATTCCACATAATCTTTGCAAACTTCAATGATCTGTATTATAATTCATAGTTCATGTAACTTCTAGTAATTGGATATTTAGTTTGTCTTAAAAATATTTGTGATTGTAAACAATGCTGCAGTAAAGATCACTGGGACTATAGGTTGTCTTTTGTATCATTTTCTTGGGAGGGAGTCAGGGTGCATAAATACTTTTATGACTCTACCAAGCAGTTTGAAGATGGAAAAATTCCTTTAAATTATTGTAAAAGTGTTTGAGGTTTCTGTAGATTCATTTCTTTTCTGTCCCACAATACCTAATTCTGTGTGTTTATCTATTTGGATCTTTTTTTTAAACTTTTTACTTTGTATTGGAGTATAGCCAACTAACAATGTGCGATAGTTTCATGTGAACACTGAAGGAACTCAGCCATGCATATACACGTATCCATTCTCCCCCAAACTCCCCTCACATCCATGTCACATGACACTGAACAGAGTTTCCTGTGCTATGCAGTAGGGCCTTGTTGGTTATCTACTTTAAATATAGCAGTGTGTACATGTCCGTCCCAAACTCCCTAACTATCCCGTCCTGATCCTTCCCCTCTGGCAACCATAAATTCATTCTCTGTGTGTCTCTTTCTGATTTGTAAGTAAGCTCATTTGTATCATTTATTTTTAGATTCCACACATAAGAGATGCCATACTGTATTTCTCCTTCTCTTTCTGACTTCATTCAGTTTGACACTCTCTAGGTTCATCCATATTGCAGCAATGCAGTATTTCATTCTTTTTGATGGCTGAGTAATATTCCATTGTATATATCTTCTTTATCCATTCCTCTGTCAATAGACATTTAGGTTGCTTCCATGTCTTGGCTATTGTAACACTGCTATGGTAGCTATTCTTTGTGCACTAAATTAATATTTGTAAATAACACTAGAATAGTCTCCTAGTGCTTAAAATAAGGCCTAAAGCAGGGGGACGCTATAAATGCATTTGCTTAGAACTAGTTTTTATGACACACACATATTTGAAGACCATAAAACTTTTTAATTTGTAAGTTTACGACTATCGATTTCGAAGATAACCCTGAAAAGACCTCAACATTTTCTCTGTAAACTACATTTTCTGCAGATTTCCGTGTGATTGGATGAAGTATATTGGTGTCTTTGGAAACTATTTGCAGCTTTGCAGAGTTTTGGAATGTGACTCTATTTATATGATAGTCCAGTCCTTTTGGCCATTAGTCTAACTTCAACAACCTTGCTCCAACAACTTTTTTCCCCCTCATTTGGAGGGTAGTGTTATTTATTCTTAAGAGAATATTTTTCCTCCTTTAGACTTTATCTAACTTCTGTCTGAGTGCAGCTTACTGTCAATTTATTAGCTCAGTCATTTATCACAAAATTTAAAATTAAACTGTGGCTCTATGTTAGTTAGAGATGGGAAACTGTTCCCTGATATTCTAACATTCTACTTTTAACTTATATTTCTTCAGAGCTAATCTGTTTCCCCTTTTTGGAAAACAAAGGCCTCTCCTCTCTTCATTATGTACATGAATCAGGAGAATTGTGTGATTGAAGGACATGTAGGAGGAGGAAGAGAAATAGAGGAAAAATTTTCCTTTAACTTCTTTTTTTTCCCTTTTATTTCTTTTTTTGGCATTTCAACAAGATTGAATGAGGAAAACTAACCATTTTTATTTTTTGAAAAGCATGCAGCTGGGAAAAAGTATTTACTTTGGCTTGATAAAAACCATAACTTGTTATACTCAAAGCAAATTATTTGGGTTTAGTTAAATTATACAAAAGGGAAATGATGTAGCTTCAGTTACTTGCACTGATGTGGTATAATTTGCTCAGGTGCCAACGTAACAGAAAATGGTCTGATCTCCACTTTTAAGTGGCTGCTGCTTTCTTGTGTCATCCTGGCTTACCTCCTCATCCCCATTGCCACCTCTCACACACATGTTTGCTGTCGTTTTTGCTCAGATGTTCAGAAACATATTTAATAGTGTTTGTAAATGTAGATTCAGAGTAATAATAACTAATTCTTCTCACTAAAATCCACAACTATCCTATAACCACAGTCAAAAGTGGTAGCTGTACACTTTAGTTTAGGAGGTCACCTAGCACTAATAAGAATCAAAAAATGACTATTTTCTGGAGTCACTAATTTTTGAAGCAGTCATACTCAGGAGGCAATTTTAAGTACTGGTGTATTATTGGTAGTAAGAAATAGTTTTTAATGTTAAGTAAAGCTCATAGTTGTTTTATGCACGACAGCAGCTATACAGAATCCTTCTAGCTCTGTAAATATTAGATTTGACTGTGTTGCTAGGAAACCCAAAATAAAAAGAAATTTAAGTAAGCAGGAAGCATTATGAAAACGAAAATTTGTTTTTATAAACAGTGCAGCTTTGGGTTATGCTTCGTGATTAAAAGTTTGGTGTAAACTATTTCAGATGTACATTAAAGAGAAAAGAAACTTCTTACATCGTAGTGATCGTTTCCTGTTTCATTTTTAATTTTCTTCTCGTGTAAAGAGCTTTCACTAGGAGTTGCTTGAAATCTCTGGGAAGGTCTGTTCTGAATTTACTACTTCTGGATTGGTTAAAATCCCTTTTAAGTGTGTGCTTTTGTTCTTTGAAAGCTTTGGTCAGTTGAGCAACTTGCTGCTTGTGTTTAAAAAAAAAAAAAAAAGAGCTGAGTAATGCTGGAGCTTTCTCATGTGGCTGATGCAAACCTGGAGAATTTGCATCATCATCTAGCTGGAGTAAGTTGGTGTGACAGGCAAGCGCTTAAATACCAGCCCACGGGGAAGCTGATCTGGTCTGTAGTGATAGGGCGGCAGCAGCAGCCGCAGCAGCAGAGGTAGTCGGGGAGGTGGGCGAAGCAGAATACCATGAACGAACACACAGGTGTTTCTGAGGCGTAATTAGACCGCGGAAGGTGAAATACACCTTAGCTCTTTTACCTGGGAGCACAATATCACTGAGAAACGAATCTGAAAGCAAAGAGGAAGAGATCAGATCGGTCAGTCACCCCAAGAGACACCACAGTTGAAAGTTTGGAATTAAAAACAAATTTTTTTTTTTTTTCCATTTCCTTTTCCCCCCTGCGGGTCACTACCATGGTCAGAAAGCCTGTGGTGTCCACCATCTCCAGTGGGGCTTACCTGCAGGGCAGTGCTAATGGGAGGCTGCCTGCCCTGGGCGGCAAGGAGCCGCCTGGGCAGGAGAAAGTTGTGCTGAAGAAGAAAATCACTCTGTTGAGAGGAATCTCCATCATCATTGGCACCATCATCGGAGCAGGAATCTTCATTTCTCCGAAGGGCGTGCTCCAGAACACAGGCAGTGTGGGCTTGTCCCTGGTGGTCTGGACGGTCTGTGGGGTCCTGTCGCTGTTTGGTGAGTGTTGCTGCTTCGCTGGGGGTGTGTCTGTGGGGCTGAGCACTCTGCTGTCCAGGAGAGCAGAGGGCGATTTCAAAGGAGTGAATGAATGGCAGAGGCTACCCCAGATTTTCTGATTTTAGGGGAGGTATGCGAACTATCTAAGCACACTGTCCACTGTTGGCAGAATGCTGAGTTCCCTGAAATTGCAGGGAACCTATAGTCATGCTCTCTTTTCCTGACCAAGGCACTCTGCTTTGACTTTTCCCTTTGGCATTGAATGTTGATGCTAACTTTGATGACCCAGTAAAATACAGGTGAACTTTCTGTACCCGGCACTTGTGCCCAGTGAAGGGATGTTTGGGGTGTCTTGGCAGCTGGCAAGCTGAATGAAACACCTATGAAGTGAAACCCGGTGTGGCCTATTTAGACACAGAACTGAGTGCTCAGCAGAAGTTTTACTGACTTTTTACTGGCAAAACAAATGGAGGGCAGTCTTTTCCCTTTTAATTTTTTTAAATTCACGAGCTTGTCAGTTCCTAGTCTTCTTTCAAAAGTCCTTGAGTGTGGATCAAAGTGTGATGGCACATAATTCAGCTCCTTTTGTAACTGGGATTATTGCAAAGGGTGTGAGCATATTTCACATTTTTTTATACTTTTCATCTCTCCCCAGTCCCCATAAATTTTTGCAATATAAATTGTAAAATTGGAGTTGGGTATTAGTTTGCTATGTTTGCCCAGGTCTGTTTTCTTACTTTACAGTTCACTTGGTCTTCGGAGACACAGGTCACTGGGCCACCTGTCTGCAGAGTTAGTCTCAACAGAACTGGTAGAATTGGTAGAAGAAATGTGATTATTAACTTTTCTTCAAAACCAAGATCTCTTTTATTGATGTGATGATTAATAATAAAGAGGTAATAAATGTCCCCTCATGAGGTGGACATATGACTGGAATGCTTCTTGGGTTAACTGTCAAGGTGTTAAAAACTGGTGAATGGTCAAGAAAATTAAATTGTATTTATACTATGGGGAAAATGTCTAAGATATATTTGCTCTTCTCTGGCAAATAGTGCTCTTTTATTCCAAAAGATACTGCTCTTTAAAAGTATTAACACTGTCCTAACTCTCTAGGACCAAGTACTAACTCTTGGCCCTACATGGACCAACCTGTTTATTCTGAAGGTCTTGGCAATGTTTTCATGCGTTGCTTTGAGCATTTATCTAGAGAACTCAAATTTTCATGATTAGGAAGAAAGTATTTTAAACAAAACTTGTTGAAATAAAAACTTTGTATAGAAATATCAACAGAGGAATTATATTTAGGTGTTTACAAAGGGTTTATGGTATTCATATGGTGTGGCATATACATTTATAGACAAAGAGAAGCCTAATTATTGATCTTCTTAAATGATTTTGTGTACCCTCAGCCTTTAATCTTCTCCAACACTTGGTATATTCAGAATAAATCATTGTCTAATAGGAGAAATCATAACGAATTTCCTGGATTTTGTATACTGTGTGCATGCACCTCCCACTATATGATTCCCTTTTTGTACACTATAAAAGGCTATCAAGATATGATAAAATGGGTGGCTCTGAGCATTAACTAGTTAAAGTGATGTTGACTTGTACTACGAAAATATGCTTCTGCATGAGTGTGTCATCTCAAGCGGTTAAAAATAAGCTAATGGGACTAGCTAAGTTTATACTTAGCTAGTAAGTATTCTTTGGTATACTTTGATTACTGGTATTCTTTGATTATTAATCACAGGGAATATGCTCCTATACTAATCTGTTTATCGATGTTTGCATTACATTGGTCACTTGAGCTACTAGGAACTTTTGACAGGAGTATCTTCTTAACAGGAAGCAAAGCAAAATATTAGGACAAAAATTCTTTGTCTTAAAACTCTGGAACTAAGAGTATAGAATGTGTATATTGTGTTTACAATTTTGTTTAAAGGCAGGTTTAATACATGGGTTTCTTACATCCTATTTTGAAATGTTTTCCTCTGACTAATATGGTTATAGAGCTTGAGACCTTTAAATGAAAATTTCACTTCCCCAGAACTCAATTTAAACTTGGGGCAACCATCCTGGAGTTTAAGCAAAGAATACACAGGTCTAGGTATTGATTCTCTGGAGATAAATTCTGAGGTTCTTAAGACACTTTCCAATAACATTTAGTATTGGATGATTTTTTGTACAGCCTACCAACATGGCAACTGGTTTCCAATAGAGAATGAACTGCAACTAGTTATAGTTAGTTTTATATGGACATACTGTATCAGTGATTCCCAACTATCCATCTGTAGACTAAGTTACTTTAGAATTAGCTGTGCTAATTTTAAAATAATAGATTTTCTTTGATGCCTCTGTTGTAGAGTCTGGCCTCTCTTGATCAGAGAGTAGGTCTGGGGTATGGCCTTGGTGCTTGTATTTTTTATTTTAATTAAAAAATAGTTCCCAGGTGACTGTATACAGTGCTAGCTTTGGAAATAGGATAACTAACACTAAGATTTTGCTGAATATCCAAATTACATTTATGTTGGACAGTTCTACCTGAAGGTCTACTGATTAGTAGTGATTTCTCACACTTTTAGTCTCCAGAGTAGCTCAGGCAGAAATTATATCTTACATTTGAGTACTTAGCAGTATGGGTAGAACTTTTCACATGATGTCAAGATATACTTTTCATTAAATATAAAATGAATTGCTTACCGTAGTAGGTAAAACTGTATTTCATGAGGTGCTTTCTGTGTGTCAGGCCCGTTACTGTCCTTTGCATTCGTTTTCACATTTATACACACAATCCCCTTATGAGGTGAGAATTAAAATCTTCATTTCTCAGAGGATGAAACTGAGGTTTCGGGAGATTACATAATCTGCTCCAGTGTTTGTGAATTTTATTACTAAATGTTAAAAATTGGTTTATAATTAATTTTATCTCCATGTTCATAGATGTGTTATAGCATCTCTTTTTCAAAACTTTTATTTCAGTCACCCAGGAATGATACTCTGAAATATATCTATAAGAAACTTTCCTATTAATAGAATATCTGAGTCAAATTAATTTTGTTGATATACAAAACATATCCTATAAATTAAATGAAGCCTTCCAAAACCTTGAGTCCATCCTTTTCAGGAGAAGAGAGGAATTTTATTTATTTTGATGTGTCACAAAAACATCATTTATTAAAAGGATGCTCAATATAATGAGGTCAATTTTATACAATTCTTTGCCTTGATGTGAACTTATGTTCTTCAAAAATGGATTATTATTATTATTGGCATCTATCTTCTTTCTCTGGTTCTCAGGTTTGAGATTCAAAATTCTTAATAATATTATATTTTTTAGAAGTTTGCCTTTACCATCTCAAGTAAAATTACCTTGAACAGAATGAATGAGAGTTCAAGCTTGAGGAAGTTACAGGGGGAATTTGAAGGTCCTTAGGAATTTGCTGAGTATTGGTTATTTGGAAAAAGGGTGTCATTCAGACCAGAGGATGTAACATCATCTCATGAAACACTGCTGTGTCCATTCTACTGCTGAATGACTTGGTAATATTTTAACCTTGTGCCTTTTTATCATAATTACTTCACAGGAGCCTTATCCTACGCTGAACTGGGAACTAGTATAAAGAAATCTGGTGGTCATTACACATATATTCTAGAAGTCTTTGGCCCATTACCAGCTTTTGTGCGAGTCTGGGTGGAACTGCTCATTATACGGTAAGAGCCTAGATGGAAAAAAATTAAGGAAAAGTAAACCTATTCATTATCCCATTTTGAATCGCTATGATTATTTTTAAATAATTAGAAATATGTATGACTATGTGGTAAATATGTCTCCTTCAGGACATAAGATCTGGGATGAAAAATCTTTCTCAATTAATGTTTTTAATGCCATTTTGCCACTGGCAGTAGTTTTCTAACCATGCCAAACTTTCAAAGCATCTGCTTGTTGTTAATATTCAACTATTCTGTATGTCATTTTCAGGAAAGATGCTGACCTGAAAAGAATATGAATTGTCAAAATCTACCATGATTAAATCAGACCTTTTGCTTGATTATAAATTGTAATTAGACAAAATTAAATGTTCTTCTAGGAACTGGAATTTCCCTTCTTGTAGATTGTACCATCAAGCCATCTTAAGTTTACTCACTTTTCGTGACTAGGAAACTTCTGTTCCTAGCAACTTAGTATGTCATCAAGTTTTATATTCTACCAAAAAAAAACCCAAAACAAACAAACACACACTTGTCACGAATGACTCATATCCTCACATTAAACAGATCAGTGAACTACATTTGCAAAAAGCTTTTTTGATTATATTGTTGTAAGAATACATTCTCCTTCCTGATTGCCTTTGTTTAAAATCAAACCAAATAATGCTAAGTCACTCTGAATAGCAAACTTCCTCCAATTTTGTGGGAAAACTTATGATGTCACATGAGAACCTCAGATTATCCTTAAGGCAAACTACTTCCATGAAATGTGACTAGCACATTCTGACTGCAGAATTTAACAGAAACAATTAAAGAAACTTGCTCTTAGTGTAAACTTATCAGACTTACACAGCTGAAAAGAGCTGAAAGCTCTTATCCTATCATTTAGAGCTAAGTGGTAAATGCAGAGCTAATAAGTATTGACTTAACACTAATCTTGATTTTTATAGTCCTAGGAGTCTCTTTTGTAGTAAAGAACTTAGAATAGTATTTACAGCTTTGTAAAGTCTGTTCTCATTTTAAGCAATTTTGCATTACTTAAAACTTGTTATTATGAAATAATGATAAAGAAGTATTTTGTTCCTTTTCTAAACTCTGGAATTTGCCTGGGAGGTGCCTTCCACTCTTTTCTGATAATATGAAGATTACTCTTCAAAGGTCAACTTTTCCACAGTTAATTTCCTGTTCACCCTAGTTTATAGTATTTCTTTCCTCTCTTAATTCTTCTGAAAAAAAAAAAATGCAGTCTCTGCTTCTCATTTGACATTGAACATGCTGGCTTATATTCTTACTGAATATTTTAGGAATCTGTGCTCTGTTTCCCTGTTAAAATTGCAAGCATTTCAAGCATATAAAACCAGGTCTCTCACTTTTTGTAACTCTTATACTACTTATTGTCATATATTTAATGCACTGATTGTCATATATTAGATTCTTTTTGAATAGCAGTTGAAAAATTAAGTAATCATTCAATCTTTCAGTAAGTTATATTGGGTTGGCCAAAATATTCATTCAGGTTTTTCCATTAAGATGGTATGGACAATCCCTAACAGATTTTTTTGCCAACCCTAATAGTTTGAATAAAATATACTCAGTATTCAAATAAGTGCAATACTTATTTAGACTGGTGGTCTGTTAGAATAGTGGGCTTTGGGGCCTGATGCAGCTGAGCTTGAGTCTCTCTCCAGCCATGTACTGGCTAATTGTGTTGGCTGGTTAGCCATACTTTGGTTAATTGCTCAGCATTATGATGGACTTGATCATTCCATTTGCAGTAGTAGCACCAACAGAGTGCTCATTCATTCATCTATTCATTCCTCAAATTATCCTACTGAAAGGTATATGGCAAGTTAAAAAGATCTAAGGTGAAGTGAGCCTCAGTTCTTATTCTCAAGTAGCTTGTAATCATATTACCTTAGAGAGCTACTTCACAGGGTGTATGTTTATGGAAGCAATTACCTAAATATATTCTAGAAGCTTTTGTAATGGATTCATATATTTCTTTGTAATAATGGACTCATTACTCAGTTGGTCTCTCAGAATAATGAATGATTTGAGGGGTGACAAAATACCTGAGTAGTTAAACATTCCTCTTCCATTGAAAGTACCCATGGTACCTAAATATTTACTATTAAAATTGTACTTCAGATTAAGTCACTTTTGTCAGAAATAACCTGTAACAAATCTTAAAAAGAAATCATACATCAGGGGTCATTTGAATTCATACATTCACCATGTATTCGTTAGTTTTCTGTTGTGTGACAGACACTTTACTATACACTGAGGATGAAATAGTGATTAATATGGACACAGTCATACTCATGAAGCTCACGGTCAAGTGAGGGAAACAGTTATCAATCAAGACATCATGTAAGAGAATAAAAAGTTACTACTTTTTAAGGAGAAAGGAGAGCTATGAAGTTCCATAAGAGAGTATACTCTGGGAGATCTAATGCAATCAAAGGACTGAAGAAGCTTCCTTGGGAAAAAGATTTAACTAAGACCTGAGGTATAAGAAACTGTCAGGGAGTTTCAGGGGCTCACTAAAATGACATGATAAGATTTTAATTTACACATCAGAAATTTATAAATGATGGAGAATAAGAAAAAGTATCTTGTTGTGGTCAGGAGGAGATTGTCTTGGAAAAGAAAAAAAAAATCAAGAAATCTCACTACTGTGCATCTACACTGAGGAAATCATAATTGAAAAAGACACAGGCACTGCAGTATTTATCGCAGCACTGTTTACAATAGCCAGGATATGGAAGCAACCTAGATGTCCGCTGACAGATGAATGGATAAAGAAGATGTGGTACATATATACAATGGAATGTTGCTCAGTTATGAAACAGAACATATATGAGTCAGTTTTAATGAGGTGGATAAACCTAGAGCCTGTTATATATAGTGAAGTCAGAAAGAGAAAAACAAATATCGTATATTAACACACATGTATGGAATCTAGGAAGATGGTACTGATAAACCTATTTGCAGGGTCGCAGTGGAGACGCGGACCTAAAGAACAGGCTTGTGGACATGGCGGGAGGGGGGAGGAGAGAGTGGGGTGATTTGAGAGAGTAGCCTTGAAACATATACATTACCATAGATAAAATAGAGAGCCAGTGGGAATTTGCTATATGATGCAAGGAGGTCAAATCTGGTGCTCTGTGCCAACCTAGGGGAGTTGGGATCGGGTGGGAGCTGGGAGGGAAGTTTAAGAAGGGGACATGTGTATGCCTATTGATGCATGGCAGAAACCAACACAATATTGTAAAGCAGTTATCCTCCAATTAAAAATACATAAATCTATCCTGGTTTCTAATACCAGCAGGTCAGGGTTGGAATACATACTGGTGTTTGGTTTCCTGACAATCTATGGGTTGGACCTGGAGGTTGAGTAACCATGAGATGGAAGATAAACTGAAATGGAAGACTTGGCATGGGAAATTAGATAATTCCATTGACTTGCCTGAGTATCTAACAAACAGGCATTCATATGTAGTATATTTAAACTGGAAAGGCCTGTGTCATTCTCTAACAGAAAATTGAAAAACTTAACTAGAATCATTTGCTACCTGTTTTATTATATACCTGAACTTATTTCATTTTCTTATCTCATTCATGTTTTCTCTATTTATAAAGTTACAAGACTAATTTTATTTTTCAACACATACTTTTCACCTAAATGTTTCTATGGAATTAAGAATAATCACTTGGCTTTTCAAGATTTTTCTGTATGGAAAAATCTAGACTAATACAATGTCAAGCATGTAAGCATATATTTGCAATGAACACTTATTAATACTAATTTTTTTAAGTTGAGTTTTGTGTTCCTTTTCTAAACCCATTAGACTATGCTGTTAACTCATTCCTACTCTGCTGGAGTTTAATTGTTGATTTCCTGAGAAAGGAGACTATTTCTTGTGTGGCCCAGCCCTATTGGGTCTCAAGTAATAAACTAGATTTTTAAGAAAAAGTCAAATATGGGAGGGAAGAGGAAAGCTGACAGCACCCAGGCTTGTTCCCAAGCAGATGTGAGGTTTAAAACTTAGCTACCAAAGTTGCAGATGGCATTTCATTTGGAATATCTGTGACGACCTAATCAAATATAGGCTAAAAACTCAACATTCAGAAAACTAAGATCATGGCATCCAGTCCCATCACTTCATGGCAAATAGATGGGGAAACAATGGAAACAGTGAGAGACTTTATTTTGGGGGGCTCCAAAAGATGGTGACTGCAGCCATGAAATTAAAAAATGCTTGCTCCTTAGAAGAAAAGCTATGACAAACCTAGACAGCATATTACAAAGCAGAGACATTACTTTGCTGACAAAGGTCTATCTAGTCAAAGCTATGGTTTTTCCAGTAGTCATGTATGGATGTAAGAGTTGTACTATAAAGAAATATGAGTGCCAAAGAATTGATGTTTTGAACTGTAGTGTTGGAGAAGACTCTTCAGAGTCCCCTGGATTACAAAGAGATGCAACCCAGCCCATCCTAAAGGAAACCAGTCCTGAATATTCATTGGAAGGACTGATGCTGAAGCTGAAACTCCAATACTTTGGCCACCTGATGCAAAGAACCAACTCATTAGAAAAGACCCTGATGCTGGGAAAGATTGAAAGAGGGAGGAAAAGGGGACGGCAGAGGATGAACTGGTTGGATGGCATCACTGACGCGATGGACACGAGTTTGAGTAAGCTCCAGGAGTTGGTGATGGACAGGGAAGCCTGGCGTGCTGCAGTCCACGGGGTCACAAAAGTCAGACACGACTGAGTGGCTGAACTGAACTGAATCAAATATCGAGTTCTGAAAAGCATATACTTCCCTATTTAATATGTTCCATATGCTGAGTAACTGCACCTCAAGGTAGAAAAAGTTAGTGAAAGTGCTATTTTTTTTTTCCTGTGGTTAACCTAAATATGCATTTCTTCTAGCCCTGCAGCCACTGCTGTGATATCTCTGGCATTTGGACGCTATATTCTGGAACCATTTTTTATTCACTGTGAAATTCCTGAACTTGCAATCAAGCTCGTTACAGCTGTGGGCATAAGTGAGTATCATAGGTATAAATATGAAAAAACAGTCCCTACAAAAGTGATTGGAGACAACATTTCTTGAGACTTTTTGCATGGTGGTACTACTCCTCACATAGTGTTCTTCTTGCTTACAACTGCTCGCCAGATTTGTTTTGGAAAACAAAGAAAAAAATAAATGCTTGGAGTGATGCCTGCTATGACATTATAAGCCTATTTTGTATTGGATCAATAGATATGATGGCTAATCTTTTAAAACAGGCAAACAAAACACTTTGTTAGTAAAATAGTAGCTTGATTGTGCATAAAGAGATTTTACAAGTGAAAACCCAATTTTTAAATGGGTGTTCTGAATTATAAAATATCCTTTCTTAGCAATAACATGTAGAAGTATAAGGCACTTACCCTCATGGAATGGTGTCTGTGTGTTGGGTGTATATGTTGTGTTCATGAATTTTCTAGTACCAGCTGCCACTCTATGTTCGGATTTTAGCTGTCCATTGATGGTCACTAGACTTCTTCCAATGTTTGATTATTAGTAGCATTTCTCAAATAGGGGTTTTCTTTATCATTTCCAAATTAGGAAGTTGCTCATTTTCATCACTGGGCACAGATATTAGAACTTTTTTTTAAAAAAGGAAGTAAAAAAAAGAGGAACATGCACCACATGACGTAAGTGATGTGAGGCTCAGTATGACTCTAACTTCCTATTGTAAGAGACAGGTGAACATTTCACAGTAGAGAGGTGAGTGATTAGTAGGAAAGAGTCAGGAATTACACATAAAATATCTCTAGTACTGGGTCCATATTTCTGGACTTAAATAGGTTCATCCTGGATTCCCCCCTTAATTCATGAAACATAATAATTGTTATGTGGAATATTTGAAGGAAAACCAAGCAAAATACTTGAATGAGATATTTCTAAGTTCTGGAGAGGTAATGGTGTCTTGCTTGATCTTACCCTTTGCACACACTACAGCTGTGAGACTTGGGGTCAAGTCACGGCTGCTTTCTGCACCTCAGTGTTCTTATTTATAAATCATGTCCAGTCTCATAAGGTGTCTTTTGAGGATTAAATGCTATTAAAAGAGACAGTGTATATAAAGTGTTTTGAGTAATGCTAGAAAAATTTCAAGAGTGAAATTACAAATAGTAGCTTTTTATACTCTTGTGGGAACACATCAAGTTCCATAAGACCAGAGCTTTAACTAACTGCTGTGTTTCCAGCCCTTCACATAGCCCCTAGTATGTTGTTTGTGCTCAACAAATATTTGTTCATGACTAATTTTAATGAGAAGAGATGTAGCATTCTTCTCTAGTAGAGAAGCTAATGGAATGCCCATGTGTTAAACTTAGAGGATTACACATCTTCACGTTTCTCAAGCAGCAGGAAATGGAGGTAAATGAAATAGATTTTTCTCAGATCTAACACCATGAAGTTTTGATTTTTTGAACCATTTTAGCATTGTGGTTATAGCTCAGGCTCTGGAGGCAAATAACTGAATTGAAACTAATTGAAATTTAGTGTCGGGGTTTTCAGTTATGTGATTTCAGGACAAATATTAAATCTCATTAAGCATCAGTTTTATTTATTGGTAAAATACCTGTGAGATGATAATTTACCTTGAGTGGGTCTGGAAGGATGAAGTTAGATTTTTAAAACTTTAGCAGAGTGCCTTGCCCATAGAAAGTTCTTGATAAATCTAGTGTTCCAACTGGGACTGGATCAGTATCCACTGTTGTACTCATTTTATTCTTGTCTCTCAACTGATCAAGGCAGAATCATATCACAATTATTATATTTGAAAAGAGAAACACAGGGGTAGCATTTTGAGAGCTCTGTAATTTTCCAATCAGAGGTTACTGATTAAAAGCTGAAACAGCAAACTTTCATTATATATCATGTAAACATTTACAAATCCACAGCTTGGATTGAGAAGGACTTGTAATGAATTAGATAATGACAACATATTACCATTTTGGTAAATCTAGATAGTTCTTTTATTTGTCCCAATTCTGTTAAACATTTTAAAGGGAAAAACTGTATTTTAGAGGAGTAAATGGAAACTGTTCAAATCAAAAATTTAAAGCAATTATAGGTAAGAATGATTAAATATGTTGCATTTTACAAAAGCTGTAGTAGAGTTTGGTGATGGTGTAACTAACAAAGGGCCTGAGTAAATCTGGGATGAACTTAGTCATGTTCTTCCATTTTTACCATTAGTTATAACATTAATTTACAGATTTTGATGCAAGCTTGAGTTTTTGAGGAAATTTGTTCCTAGGATCAGAAGCATTGAAAGATGAAACTACATAGTCTTGCAACTCGGTGGCAGGTGATATAAATCAACGGCCTAATTGGAGAAGTCAAACTGTCTCTGAGAACTTAGCTTTAAAGCAACAGCAGGTGGAGATGGAGATTGAAAAGGAGAGATTTACCTGGGGGCAAATCTCACATTCTGTAGGGTTCAAAGCCAGGAGAGAGGTGATTTTCTGCCTGCTGGGGGTGAAAGGTTAGTGAGATGTAGAAAACAGAATTTAATTGCATGAATTGCTTCCCTGTGTTCTCCTACAGGGGATGGAAGCAATTTGTGGTAGTTTGAATTCTCTAGTTCAAGTGGAGAAGAAGAACAAACCTGAAGGATATTGTTATGGTCAAATCATAGAAGAAAAGGAATTTCAGGGTTTGTGAAATGTTAACCCATCACTTGAGAAGTGAGAGTGGGGTGGGAATGTGGCATTGCTAAATACTAATTACCCCTCTGAGGCTTCCTGGTGGCTCAGAGGATAAAGCGTCTACCTGCAATGCAGGAGACCTGGGTTCAATCCCTGGGTTGGGAAGATCCCCTGGAGAAGGAGATGGCAACCCACTCCAGTGCTCTTGCCTGGAAAATCCCATGAATGAAGGAGACTGGTAGGGTTTACTCCTCTCCTCTTTTGAAAGTATTCAATTTCACTTCTCTCAAATTAATAAAAGTGAAAAGTTTTGGAATACTTCCCTAGTGGTGCAGTGGTTAAGACTTCTGCCTTCCAATGCAGAGCATGCAGGTTCAATCCTTTGCATGGTACTAGGTCCCACATGCCTAGGAGCCAAAAAACTGAAACATGAAACAGAAGCAATATCCTAACAAATTCAGTAAAGAATTAAAAAATGGTCCACATTGAAAAAAAAAAATCTTTAAAGAAAAAAGGGTTTTGCACTCCAAGTCTTGTCCATTCTGGCAAGCATGTCAGGCATGTGGAAGTTGAGTAGGGAAATTTTATATATTCACATTTGTCTTCTCTCCTCTAGCCCATTGTCCTTAGGCAAAGGGATATTGCTCCCTTTACTTTCTATGGAACTTCATGAATTTCACTTTCCTCGAAGCTTCAACAAACACTGAAGTGTGTTCAAGAGTTAAAATAAAATGACATTTTGTTTTTGGTTCTGGTCTCCTGAACCAGACCCTGTTTAAGTATACACTTGAGTGGCAGAATATTCTAATAAAAGTACCTTATGTCAGATGTGGGCTCTTATCTCAGACACATCCTTAACAACCTCTCTGAGTCTCAGTTTTCTTATTAGTTTAATTTACCTAGGTGGATAAAGAGCCTTAGCTTCTTTCCACACCTGTGGGAATAATGGGAGAAAGCAAACAAAATAACACTTGTGATTATTATGTGAGAAAAAGAGATAGCCATTTCTATAAATGCATTACTGTATTTTCTCAAACTACTCTACAAGCATCATTAAATTACATGAAAGAAAGTCTAGGCTGAGGGTTGTGCTAGTTTTTCAAATATTGCACATAAAGTGGCTCTATTTAAACCCGAAATTGGGCTATCTTTACTCCTCTTCTACCATAACTAAAAACCATGACAACCAATTCTTAGGTAGAGATATGTAGTATTGAAATATACAAGGACTTCAAAACAACAACCATACCCTTCATGTGGATGAGAAATAAAATGTGGAATCAAAGTGTCTTGAAATCCCAGCCAAGATAAACATCACCCTTAGCAGAGAAGAAGAGCATCAGATGTTTGAGAGAACTAGTGAAATCATATGTGTCTTTTGACCTTCTTCCTCATTGTTACCTGTGAACTACTGGTAAAATTGTGGACTCTGGAGTCAGCTTACTTGGCTTCAATCTTATCTTCACCTTTACCTTTGTGAACATGGACAAGTTAAGTAATATCTGGGTTCTCAGCTGTTCATCTGAAAAATAATGCTGACGATGGTACCCAAGTCATAGAGATATTAGGATTAAATAATATTATCCATGTAAGGTCTTTGTACAATGTGTGTCGTATAATAGTGTACATTTGTTTAACTCTTACCATTTTTATTCCCAATAGTGAGATCCTAGATATAGCCTCTCTCCTTCATAACGATGTTTATTGCTACATAGCTCCCCTGAAATTAATCCATCCAGGAAAGAAATGCTAGCAGAAAAATGGAGGCAACCCCAGCAGCTGCTACAAAGAGCAGTGAACAGTTCACTTCAGCTCACCATGATCCATCCGTACAGTATCCACATATTTTATCAGCTTAGCACAAAGCAGCCAGAAACCAGGGAGAACCTGAACCTGGGGAAAAAACAACAACAACAACAATATATCCAGACTCAGTAAACTCATTCGGCAGAACAAAAGACAAATTTGAATTACTGAAGTACAGAAAGAAATGCTTACTAGTCCTTAAATCATGGTATCAGTTTTTAACACTCCCCTAAACATCCTCTTCAAATGCAGCTCCCTTCCCTATATATTTCTGGTTGCCAGAGTTTATACCTATAACTTTCATTGCTGCATTTCAGTTCTTAGGAACCAACCAGCACCATTAATAAGTAAATAAAAGCTATATGTCTCTCTATTTTCATTTTGGTAACATTTAAGGTCAGCAAAAATAATAATAATAATAATAATAATAATAATAATAATAATAAGCTCAAATTAAAGGTAATTTTTGATGCATGAAATTAGCAATTATTATTCAAAGGAAGTGAAGTTAGGATGAAAGCTTGCTCAGATTTCTTTAATGATTACAGTGTAAGTAGATTGTAAGTAGAAACTCTGGAAGCTCTTAGCATTTAGTGAATCCCAAATCCCTTTTCAATATGTTGGATAAGCAACATACGTGGACTTAAACTTCTCTGTAAAGACATGTGATGAAACAGCAGTTCTCGCCACTGGAGGACCTCCACAGTGCCTCTGTACTGGCTGCCTCATCGCTTGTTAAGCTGTATGCCTGCAGGGTCATAGAGGTACATCTCAGCTGGAATTTGGCATATGGAGTAATGAGGGCAATGTCTGGATGCTCAGATAAAGCAGGGTTTTGAGAAACCTTTTGAGAGAAATCAGACTTAAACAGAATTTTTATTTCAGCTGCCTGAGAGGAAAGCAAGATGAGATTATCAATTCATAATATTTGTTTGATTTTTGTCTTCCATTTTGCTAAGAAAACTTGACAAAATATAAAATTCCCAGCACTCATTTTTGTTTTCTATTTCAATCAGCATTGAATTCTAACACTGTTTATGAAAGGAACAAACCTTCTTTCCTCTTCCCAAATACATAGAGGTTCTAATATGAGAGTGCCTCTCTCTTCCCTCCCCCTTCCCCCTTCCTTCTTTTCCTTCCTCCCTCTCTCCCTCTATTCCTTTTTCTCTTCTTTCTTCCTCCTCTTTTCCCTTCCTCTCTTTACAATAGCTCTTTTCTACTGTGGAGTACTCTCAGAAATGGTGTTTGGGTTTTTAGGAGCTCTGCTTAAAAGAAAACAGTGCTCTTTTGTGTTGCTGGGAACATGAGTCCAATTATTTTCAGACCAATGCTGAATCTCCTTAACTAAAAAAACAATCCCTTTCATATGATGATTCATTTATCACAGAGTCATTTGCATAGAAAAAGGACAAGAATCACTGGATGATGACGATGAGTGCAAAGTTGCATTAAATTATTTTCAGTATATAAGTGCTTTTTACAGGGGTGAGAAAAATCATTTTACTTCTTATCTTTCTGCTGATAAAATAATGCACTTGGCAATTAACAATGGACCTGTCTAGTTCTTCATGTTTCCAGCTTCAAACAAACACAGGTAGAATATTTCTCTCAACCTACCATGTAGCTTATTCAGGGCTTCAGCCTTTCTAATCATTCTCATCACTTCTCCTTTGAAACATTTCTGCATTAGTAACCCTCTATTTAACTTTGTGTGGTTCCTTACTCTTCCCATCTTTGAGCTTTTTTCAAAGATGAAAATTGCTGGTTTTGATTTTTTTTTACTTAATGCTTCATGTTCATTATAAGAATTATTAAAAAGTGTAGAAAAATAAACTTTTAAACTTAAAACTTATTCCATATTCTATCATCTATAGATACCTTCTCTTAATGTTTTGGTAAATACTCCAGAATTGTTCCTTTCCTTTCTGTGTTTGTAGCTTTGTCTTCTATCTATCTTCCTATATGTCAATTTAGCATCTATCTACCTCTCTGTAATTTACTGTATTGGTCAGTAATATGTCATGAACCATCTTTTATGTAATAAATATTTAACTGCATCATGATTTTAAATGGCTGCATAGTAAACTCTTAAAAAGATATACCTTAATTAGCCTACTGTTAGAAGGATAGATTATTTAAAATATTTTTGCTATTGTATATTATGTGTTGAAAACATTTGCACCAATTCTTTTTTTTTTTCATCTATTTTTATTAGTTGGAGGCTAATTACTTTACAATATTGTAGTGGTTTTTGCCATACATCGATGTGAATCAGCCATGGATTTACATGTGTTCCCCATCCTGATACCCCCTCCCACCTCCCTCCCCATCCCATCCCTCTGGGTCTTCCTAGTGCACCAGCCCTGAGCACTTGTCTCATGCATCCAACCTGGACTGGTGATCTGTTTCACCCTTGAGAGTATACTTGTTTCAATGCTATTCTCTCAGAACATCCCACCCTCGCCTTCTCCCATAGAGTCTAAAAGTCTGTTCTATACATCTGTGTCTCTTGTCCTGCATATAGGGTTATCGTTACCATCTTTTTAAAATTCCATATATATGTGTTAGTATACTGTATTGGTGTTTATCTTTCTGGCTTACTTCACTCTGTATAATGGGCTCCAGTTTCATCCATCTCATTAGAATGGATTCAAATGTATTCTTTTTAATGGCTGAGTAATATTCCATTGTGTATATGTACCATAGCTTTCTTATCCATTCGTCTGTTGATGGGCATCTAGGTTGCTTCCATGTCCTGGCTATTCTAAACAGTGCTGTGATGAACATTGGGGTACACGTGTCTCTTTCAGATCTGGGTTCCTCGGTGTGTATGCCCAGGAGTGGGATTGCTGGGTCATATGGCAGTTCTATTTCCAGTTTTTTAAGGAATCTTCACACTGTTCTCCATAGCGGCTGTACTAGTTTGCATTCCCACCTACAGTACAAGAGGGTTCCGTTTTCTCCACACCCTCTCCAGCATTTATTGCCTGTAGACTTTTGGATAGCAGCCATTCTGACTGGCGTGTAGTGGTACCTCATTGAGGTTTTGATTTGCATTTCTCTGATAATAAGTGATGTTGAGCATCTTTTCATGTGTTTGTTAGCCATCTGTATGTTTTCTTTGGAGAAATGTCTGTTTAGTTCTTTGGCCCATTGCACCAATTCTTAAATTCTGAAATGAGCTAATGATTGTATCAGGCAATTGGAACTATGAAGATCACTCATTAGTGTACATAGGGAAAGCTTCCTACTGCAACCCGAATTTTAAGAATTGTGTTTTTAATTGTTTTTTTTAATCCCCCAAGAAATATTTTCATTCATTTTTGTTGTTTGTTTGTTTTTAAACATAAAGCTTGTAGCTAATAACTACAAATGTCAGGTATGAAGTAGCTTATTTGTTGGGAGTGGGTAGGAGAGGGTGAGTAAAACCAAGTGTGAGGTTTTAGAAAGAGTATAAAGTTGAAATCTGCTGTCTAGAATAACTCAGTCATTCTAGAATAGTATAGGAGGCAGGGCCTGAAAGTACCACCATTTATTTCATGCCTTTTTGGCTGAAGGTATTATATATTTTTTTAAATCTGAGGATCCAGCTCATTCATTTATTCAACAAAACTGTGTTAATGATCTTCCTGGGCCATGGATGAAGCTGGATACTAGCAAGACAGAGATGAATGATGCTTGTTCTGTTCTCAAGATTCTCATGGTCCACAGTGCGGGTTGAGTGGCTAGTTGAATACTGCTGGAGACATTGTAGACAGCATCACCAAGATGAAATTCTGCTGGCTTCAGACCCCGTGTGCATCCTACTCTGGAAACACTTTTGGATTTATCATTCAAAACATTTTTTCAAGTTCCAAAACATATCTTGGAAACCTGTACATTTAGGGTAGGTTGAAAGTCACTCCTTACTATGCTGATTGGAAAGTGGAGAGAAAATACAAAAAGTTCTGGCTAAGGCTAATTCTGAAAGTAGAATAAAGTCCTGGTCCACTTTTCCACACATTGTCCCTTCTTGAGTGTGATCCCAAGTCTGTCCGTTCTTTAATGTGATCCCAAGTTGGCAGGTGACTAAGCATGCGGACATTGAGGGGAGAAAAGAGCTGTCTGCTGTGTCAGACTAGAGTCACATTCAACAATCTGCATGTGGTGACCTCAGGATTTGCTTAGGAGATATTTTTATGTGATTGTTAGGGCACCACAATCCTTGTTCACTCTTACTGACATATAGAAGGAATCAAACCGTGGTCACCTGCATTGCAGGTGGATTCTTTACCAACTGAGCTATCAGGAAAGCCCATACAAAGAACAAGAGATAACTTTTTACTGTCTGCAGATTTTATCCAGTTTCTCAAACTTCAGTGTGCATAAAAATCACCTAGAGATCTGGTTGAAATGCATATTTGTAGTCCTTAGGTCTGGGGTGGCATCTGAGATTGTGCATTTCTAAGATGCTTCACATAATGAATGGCAATACTGCTGGTTCATGGTTGGCACTTTGAGTAGCCAGGACCTAAGACATCACATGTACCAGTGAGGATTCACCTTTTGTAACTTCATCTGTTTGTTTGCAGCTGTGGTGATGGTCCTAAATAGCATGAGTGTCAGCTGGAGTGCCCGGATCCAGATTTTCCTAACCTTTTGCAAGCTCACAGCAATTCTGATAATTATAGTCCCTGGAGTGATGCAGCTAATTAAAGGTATGGACTGAAAAGTAAATGCTTTTTAAAATACGTATCTGCTTTTGGTCTCTTCTAACACTGACTTTCGCTTGTACTAGCAGAATCCCTTAATTAGTCTCTCTGCTCATGGAACTTAGACTCTATACTGTCATCTAATTGATTTGAAAGCCTGCAACATTGGGGGGTGAGTTGGTATTTACAGCTGATTGGCAACAAGAGGATTAAGACTGGGCCAAGCAGCAAAATGAGGCATCAGTGAATTTTCTCTTGGTCTAAACTTTTGGAGAAGGAAATGGCAACCCACTCAAGTGTTCTTGCCTAGAGAATCCCAGGGACGGTGGAGCCTGGTGGGCTGCCATCTATGGGGTCGCACAGAGTCGGACACGACTGAAGCGACTTAGCAGCAGCAGCGGCAAACTGTTTGTAGTGAAAACACAAAGTGGAAAAAAAAAATAAGCTGTTAGTTTTAGTTACAGATAAATATGTCTTCTTATTTTTACTTTAAAGTAGTTCAAACATATATTAAGGATTAGACAGAGAAAAAGATATCTGGAAAATAATGAAAAATGATAAAATATTCTTTTACTTTTTGGTAATTACTCCTTTTACCTTGAGAATGGAATTTTGACAGAAGGAGAGTCAGCTATGGAAATAGCATTCATAAAAAAAACAAATGCTATCTGACAATAAAAATAGTTGTAAAAATGTATTAACATACATTATTTTAATGTAAAATCTGCAGTTCTGTAGAAATGTAACACCGTTTTCTGGGAGTATTTGCCTTTCTAGAGTTGAGATGGTTGAGAGTGATGTCACTTAGAGTTTCAATTGTTCTAAAAGAAGGCACAGGCAATTGCTTGGATTCAGGGGAAATTACTTGGTGAGATGGAGGCCTAGTGAGTTATTTAACTAACAATGGGCACAGTAGTAGGAAATAAGTAAGGAAGTAAGACATGATAAAGGAGTGATGTGTAACTTTGGCACGTAAAGTATTTCATATTTACACTGATGTTGTCTGTTCCAAGAATAGGAGTTTATAGAGAAATTTAATGAAGTTGCAAGAGAAGGATTACTCAAGGCAAAAGGAAATACCAAAATTAAGCAAAAAATCATTGCTGATGGTAGAGGCATAAAACAATAACAGAGGTGGAAAGATTTGTCACTCTGTATCTGGGGAAAGGGAACTACTGCTGTCTGTTTAGTAAAACCTAGTGGGACATCTTAGAACTCTCCCTGCTAAATGTTTGCATCAAATTCAGCAACCTCAGCCAACTCAAAATAAACACGATGAAGCTCTTTAATACTATAACTTACACTGAAGGGAAAACACGAACTCACTCTTCTAATTCATGTTAGTCTCCACAGAGCTGGCCTTCTCATACTTTATCTGATCCATTAAAAATGTATGGAAAGTAATTTATTTTGTTACCATTTTCCTTTTCTGGGCTAACTCTTTAGATTTCTATAAGGAATTTTTTACATTTTTGCAAAGTTCCGAAACTCTGAGTCATTTAGATTCCAAAAAAAAAAAAATGGCATACAATCCTTTAAAATTAAGATTATTTTTTTCTTTTCTCTCTTTGATGTAAGACTGTAGTCAGTTTTTACCACTTAATTATATACGTTGGTGAGGTGAGGTGAGGTGTAGTTGCCCAAATGTTACTGTATTGCAAATTCCTTGAGAGCAGAAGTCATGACATATCTTTTAGCTTTAGCTTTTTTTTTTTTGACACTTACAATAGAATGATCCTTTAGTATTTATGGTATTGCTACTGACTTAATCTTGGGTCTGCTTGTCCAAGGAGCAGCAATGCCAATCTACTGACACCAGATTGTGGTGAAGGAAAGCATAGTGCTTATTGCAGGGAGTCAAGCAAGGAGAATGGGCAGCTCATGCTCAAAAAATCTGAACTCTCTGGTAGCTTTTAGGAAAGGCTTTTTAAAGAGAGTGTGAGGGAGAAAGTCACAGGGTACCTGATAAGCTCCCGAGCAATACTCTGATAGGTTGATGATAAAGGTGAGGTCACAGAGGTCAACATTATCAATCCTTAGGTTCCAGCCAACGTGGGGGCTCTGTGATTGTGGTCATCTTGCAATTAGCTTCTTCCTCCTGATACAGGCTTTAGTATCTGGGAAACAACTCAAGGATAGGACTCAGGATGTTATTTGTAGCCCTGAGGAACAACTAGTGGTGGTGGTTTGGTTGATAAGTCATGTCCGACTCTTGAGACCCCACAGACTGTAGCCTACCAGGCTCCTCTGTCCGAGGGATTCTCCAGGCAAGAATACTGGAGTGGGTTGCCATTTCCTTCTCCAGGGGATCTTCCTGACCCAGGGATCAAAGCCAGGTCTCCTGCATTGCGGGCAGATTCTTTACCAAGTGAGCTATGAGGGAAGCCCAAGGAATAATTAAGGAACCTTAATTTTGCTTTATAGCTAAACTATTACTCTTTTATCTTTCTTGACTGCTTTCCTTTGTTTCTGCATTTTCTCACTTCTCTGATTAAAATCACTCTTTGGAACTCAGGGAAGCCTAGGGGGCTAAAACTTTTCTACAGACAAGTGGCAGGGGACGTGGCAGTGATCTGTCCCCAGTTTCATTATCAATACTTAATGTGACCAGGTTTCCTTATATATCTCACTTAACAGAGAAATGACCTGGGAATTTTACCACATTTAAATAAGTTAAATATTTTGGAGCGTATTTTTAGCAGGTATATTTACTCTATTACTAGAAAACAGTGATATTTCTTTGTCTCTAACTTATCACATATTTTTCACATTAATACAAAACTTCCAAGAGGAGAAAAATTTTACTTACCCAGATTGTACATTTATTCTGATCTAATGAGATTCAGAAAATAATTGTATGTTCTATATTCTCTTATGAGGATTTGTTAAACTTTCCTTTGAATCTAATAACTTTCATCTTCTTGAGATCTCTGTTATGCAGCCAAATACTCCTGAAATTTGGAAACAACTCTCTTTTGTAACACTTTATGCTCAGGATTCAGTCTTTACAAAGTTTGGTATCTTTTATTGATTATTCAGTATTGCACTTTTAGCAATATTGTCCCATAAGGCCTAGGAGACCACAGATCATAATAAAGCAATATATAGCAGATGTTTTTAATCTGGGTTCCAAGATTTTTGTTCTTCTTCTATGAGGACACACAGATGTTTTAGTAAAACAGATATTTCTAAATAGACAGTGTCATTTTAAAAAATGATATATATTTAGGAATTGGATGTTTTGAAAGTCATTTAGTGGATAACACAATATTCTCCATTTTTGGCCTCAAAACTCACATTCTGTATTGATATATATGTTGTTGTCTGGAAACTGCAAACAAAAACTGAAAGTTAAGTGTGGAGAGAGGTTTATGTACACCATCTACCTCCTACCCCCCTTTTATTTACCTATGTGATGGCCAATTTTGAAACAGTCATATTTCCCATTTAGATAATCTCATTTGCTAGTTTCTTTGGGAAACAGAAACTCACTATGCTTTACTTTGAATATTGACTGACTAAATCTGAATTTCTATTTTTTAATTATCCAAAAGATATAGAAGAAAAGTCCCCTCACAAAGAGGAGAAAACTGTGATGCATAAAAGCACTCAGTCTACATGTTGATGCAACAATGTGTTTAAACCTATTTAAAGTTCAATATAGATTCTTTTCCATGCTTCTAGAAGGGAGCAGTGCCATTCTCTAGGTAAGGGTCCACAGACCTTCTCTGTAAATTGGCGGATAGTAAATGTTTTCAATTTTGTGTGCCGTGTGATCTCTGTGACAATTATCAGCCCTATTGTTGGAGAATAAAATTAGCCATAGACTGATGGTATCTAGGTAAATAAGTAAGCCCAACTGTGCTCCATAAGTTTTTCTTTATAAAACAAGCTTGGAAGTGCCAAGCAGATTTGTTTCACAGCATTTTGCAACCCCTGTTGGTATCTAATGAACTATAGGAAGAAAGCAAAAAAAGCAAGTTAAATGATGTGAGAAGGTGGTTCTGGGGTTTCATGCCACTTCTTCATTGAAGATAGACCCTTGAATAATTCTTCCCAAGCACTGTATTATCATCACTGTTGAGAATTATATCACACTCCTAAAAACTATAATTTACAGACGATCCTTTAGTCTTCTTTCATGGTGAAACTCTGTTAAGAGTAGAGGCATGCTAAAGCAAGGGATTGTTTTCGAAATGTTGTTTTCCTCTTTGCCATGATTTTATTAAAATAAATGTGAAGTAGTGTTAGTGGCAATCAGCATATGTTTGGGATTCCTTCTCAATAATGGATACAGCATTAATAGATAAAGTTGGAAATGAGCAGAGAGTAAGAAATCTAGACCTGAAACTGTATAGTTCATCCCCAAGCCCCCTTCTCCTTTTCATGTTTATGGTTAAAGAATGAATAATAACCAGCTCTTTGAAAAGTCCTTGTTCTTTTTATTCATATTTCAGGGCAAACACAGTATTTTAAAGATGCCTTTTCAGGAAGAGATGCAAGTATTATGGGATTGCCACTGGCTTTTTATTATGGAATGTATGCGTATGCTGGCTGGTAAGTTGATATTACTATCAACTGGTGATTTGGATGGTTCATTAATTTCTTCAAGTACTTCAAGTGCCAAGCGAGGTGCTAGGTAATTGTGAACAGGATAATTCAACATGATATGCTGTACTTGAAGAGAGGAAGGTAATGTGGCTCCCTTCACCAGTCCAGTCACTGTGTATACAGCTTAACACAAACATCACTGAGGTTTCCAGTCAAGACAGGTACTAGATTTAACCTGATAATGTAAATTTAACATGATAATGTAAAAAATAAACAAATGCTGGGTCTTGAGAACCAATGCAAATCATTTATAAGTATGGATCAGTAAGGGCATAATAGTGCCAAAAGCCATTAAAGAATAGTACTTTGTCAAAAAGCCTTCCAAGTTGAAGCTCCAAGGTCTACACAAAGAGTTTTTTCCACCTTTCTATAAGAAAGAAAGAGTTCAGATATAGAAATAAGTAACATGTTCCCAGGAGGTAAAATGGTACTCTAAAGGCAATAAATGGGACAGCGAAATCAGATGTACTAAATAATCTGCTACATTTTAAAGGACTTTATAAATTCCTTAAAATTTCCTCAACATTTGAAAACAAAAAATGCAGAAAAGATGAATAAAACCTCAGTGCCACAAGTACATTTCCGTGGACCCATGTCAAAATGTGATGACATTCTGGTTGAAACACTAAAGTTTTGTATTTATGTCTTGTCTTGTTTAGGAACTTGAATAACAATAACCATAGTTATGAGTGGGAATTTTTTCTAATTAAATTTTATTGATCTAGTAAGATTCAGTTGAGGTGATTATTGCAAGAAATGCCACTAGAAATGCCATTATTTAAACATCAAAATGATTGTAGTAAAATTAAATTTCAGTTTTGAAGTAGTTAGTAGCAATATTTCTTTTTAAAAAAATTATTTATGGAGCTAATTGTACAGTTGCAGTGAGGATGTTCTATGAGCCTAAAAAAGCAACAAACTACACTAGCTTAAAATTATGTAAATGCATCTCAAATACAAACACAGTTTCTTTTTGTTTCTTTAGTTTTTAGGGTCTTACTCTCTAGCTAATGCATGGAATATAAAAATATATTTTTCAATAAATGAAATTTTTACCCTATTAATCTCACTGGATTATGGAAATTCAGAGTACTACAGGAGGGTTAGGAGAGTAGAGGAACTAAAAATTTTAGCATGGCCTCTGAAGCATAATGTTTGAAGTTCTTTGAAAATTGTAGCTCTGAAGAGTCTAGCATAAAATATTTGTGTACTTTTGGAATATTTTGATAGCCATTGTGTATGTGCATTAGTCTTAGTATTTTTGAAGGCTTTTTATTTTTGTCCAAAGCACAATGTGGTGCTGAGCAAGAAAAAAAAATTTAAAAAGGAGTTGTGCTCCCAGGGTTAGCAGTGGAATCATCTGTTCTATGGCTATTCAGCCTGATCAGAGCTCCAATGCCCTGGGGCAGCAGCCAAGCTCTGGGAGGGTCACCAGGAGCGGCCAGAGCAAGATGGGGAGGTGACAAAAGCTTTCGGTTAGAGCCAAGTGCTGCGGGCTTGGTAGTATTCAGGCAGGATTGTGGGATGTGGCGATCCTCATGAGGGAGTTTTGATTAATTCTATTGAATGAAGTTTCTTTTGCCTGTGAGTGCCATGCATCTGTTCCCACGGAATCTTAAAATATTATTCTACCCAACTCACTCCCCTACTACAAGGGCTGAATACTCAAGTCACCTGCTTTATGGAAAGCAAATCTTCTCCACTTCTGTAAGCTTTTGAGGGCTACTAGTTTTCTCCAAGTATAAAGAGTCTTTTCATTTTGAATTATCTTATCTTAATCTTTAGTTTTGTTGATGCTAAACCCAAAATGTTACTCTTGTTAGAAATATTTTTAAAAGACAATTCTGGTGATGTAAACAAGAGTCCAGAGAACTTAAAAATGAGGTGGAAGACAGGAAGCTTTTATGGGATGAAGAATAAGGAACAAAGAAGAGAAAAAAGGAAAATGAATGTAAAACAAAGAAATAAGCATAGAACCCAGGGTTGACTTGGAGATTAGTGGCTCCATCTTAGACATAGAAATTTATTTCAATACCCTGTTTACAGGGCAAATGGGGTTTACATGAACCCTTGTTTATATTATACTTTTCCTCATAGAATCCTTATGTCCATGTCCTATTTTAAAGAACAGGAAACTTGGTTTTCTCATATTCTAGAGAGTTCAGTCATAAGACATTAAGGCCTGGATTTTAAATGAATGTTATCTGATATAAGTGATTTATGTATGGGGCAGATAAGTACCTGTATGTCTCCAATAGCTGTTCAGCTACCTGAATGCTGCTTTGCAGGTAGGTAGAAATAACCTGCTTGTTAATATGTGGCCATCCGTCTTAGAAAAAGGGAGCTGTGTTTAGAAGAAATAGTCTGCTGGTTTGGAATTTCAGAGGAAAAAGTTAATATATGGATATAAATGGAACAAAATGGAAACGAAAAGAGTGCCCAAAGCAGGGGTTATGTAGTCACTTTGCAAATATGATCCCACCTCTCTGACCTTTCTTTGTCTTTCATGATGGAATTAAAAGACTGTGTTGTGGAATTATAAGTGGGGCACCGTAAATGAGCTTCCACTCCCTGTGCTCCTGCCCTGAAAATGTTTGATGCAAAAATGAAAGTGTAGGGGGCATTGCAAATAAGGAGACAGAAGCAGTCGTTGTCGTCAGAACTTAACCACCCACAGTGTAAGTAAAAGCAGCAAGACCCTTGTTGCCTGGGAAGCCTTGTTAGGTTAGCAACTCACCACCTACCCATTGAATAGGAAAAAGACAAGGCCAGACCTTGGATGTGAATAGAACAGGCTGTTGGTTTATGAGGAGTGCTGGACCTTTTTAGAATGATGAAAACTCCTTCACAGAAACACGATTGGGGGAAAGAAATCATTAACCCAGCCAGGTCACAGAGTTGGGTCAAAAGAACTTTAATATTATTGCCAACGTCTGCATTCAGAGAAATATGTCAGTCTCCCTGTGGCCCAGGGGAACTCAACCAATTTCAGCCCCATATCCTGATCCAAAGCTAAATATTACTTGGTGGGATTTTTTTTTTTTTTTTGAACCGTGAGATAGGAAATAGTTTTTCATTGTGTCTTTTTTTTTTCTTTTAAATCATATCCTCAATGGATTTAGTCTTCTAAAGCATCTGCTGGGATTATTTTGTAGCATTGTGTCAAATCTAATCTAAAGAATAAGCTTCTTTTTAAAATAATTCATAGTTGGGTATTGGAATGCATTGCCAGCTTTGCAATGCCTTTTATACGAAATCATGGAAAAGCTGGAACGATAGATCTTGTGAACATTCTCTAGAGAACTTGAGTAGATGTATAGAGAACGCTCTGGATGCATGATTAGAGACTAGGGGAGCATAAAGGTGTATTTCCCACAGGAGGTGAATGTTTGGACCAAAATAAGAAGCTTTCTCCTTCCCACCCTGCTACCATGTCCCAAGTCCTTTCCTTTTCTCTATGGAAAATATTTGAAATTGGGTTCTTTTTTCATAAATATTTCCTTTCTTTCCTTAGCATTGTTGGAAAAAGACCGGTTTCTAAACCAACTGTTTAGAAGGAACTGGCTATTTTTGAAATGAGAAGCCTGGAAATATTTCTAAGTGTGTGTGTGGTTTTTGTGTGAGTTTTTTTTTTCCCCCCTTGTTTTTTGTTTTGTTCATTTTCTTCTTGTACTTCCCATTGCCTTGGGCTTATAACAAATGCATCAGATCCCTCAGAGTGCATATTCCAGATATAAGTATTGATTGTTGCTTGCCTTCCTGGTATAACTACAACCTCTAGTTTGAGAAAATTACTTTCTAGTCATTAAAAAATATCCTTGGCTACTAACCTTTTAGATCACCTTTGTTGCTACTGTTCTCTCAGATATTCAAATGTTTCTGCTTCACACATGGTCCTTAAAATATCAGGCACCTTAATTTTATTAAAAGATAAACTGAGTCATATTAAAATTTTTACGAGTTTGAGAAAAAATCGGTATGAATTGACAGCATCCTATCTAGCAGGTAGAAAGGAACTCCAGAGAGCTGTACAAAAGAGAAAGCTTTTTATGGGCTGAAAGGGTGGGAACAAAGAAGTTATACTAAGCTAAAAAACAGGTTGGTTATTACGGAGTTATTTTCATTTAGGGGATAACAAGAGGCTACCAGGTAGAATACTTAAATAGTGTAATTCCTAACTGACTGGTTTTGGATTCCATTTCTGGGAGATCTGAAACTTTAACTGAATTATGTTTTGGTTTGGTGACACGAGGCTTAAGCACAAATGATTCCATTTTGGGCCTGTTGTCTTGGTTTTTTACAACTATGAGCATCAATTGCCTGCTTGTGAATAAAGATGGAATAAGACAGGTTTTCTCATCTTTGTTTTAAGTTATGAGATACTTTAAGTATGTTAAAGGCTGATGGACTAATATTCTAGTTACTTGGTTTTAGATTATATAGAGAATTTGTCTCTATTGCCCAATGCTTCTGTGGATCTATGTAATGGCTATTTTATCTTCTAAGGAATAATAAGAACACAGAAGAGTACAGTGAAAATATGACATTTTACTTTGTGGACATTTTCTAAGCCTCTGCAGTGAAGAAATGAAAATGTCTTTGTCCTTATGTGTCTAGCTCTGTTCATTATGATCCTTCGTTTCCCCATTTTCACGATTTGGTTATCATGTGTGCATATCTGAAGAGTCTGCTGCATCTTGGAACCTTGAAAGAGAACTTTAGGGGCTTTAAAGGGTCTCCAGCAGTGCTTTTAGACTGGAAAAAGAAGTCAAGGATGCAAGGCAGTCAACATTCCTGGGTGGGCTAAGGAGAGTTATAAAGTGAAGGAAAGGAATCTGAATTTTTCTTGGGCCATAAGTTTAGGGTAGTATTTGCAACCCTATGGGACTAGAAAGTGAAATATCATGTGTCTAGAATGCTTCTTGTCATGAAAGAGATGACAAAAGTGTTCAGGTCTTGGGGGAAATATTCAAAATGTTCTGTTCTTTAGTATCAGTTTATAGTGTATTGACTAACAATGGACCTAAAATTAGCTGCCTAAATATACAAAAAAAAAAAAAAAAGGCAACCAACTTCATAGTTACTATCATGCAGAAGGCATATTTACCTCATGTTGTTCTTGTAACTACAAGACTTGAGATTATTTGGATGGGATGCATATTGGAAAACTGAATTCAAAGGAAGAAGTGCAGATTGAGAATTTAGTATCTTTTATCCCATTTTTTTATTTCCTGTTTGCCTCAGTGTTCATATCTAGTAAGTCAGTTCCCTAAAACCGAGAAATGTTATTATCATAACTTCTATTTTCCTAGAGTTTTTACTGACCCGTCACCCCTACTGAAATCTAGATTCCCAGAAGCCAGAGGCCACCTTGCCTTCCACTCTGTCCTCACTCCCCGGGCACCCTTTGTCCCGCAGATTACTAAGCCGCAGCTCACATCGCTGTGCATGCAGGGCCTTACCACACCCACATGTGCATGTGCTGTATGCAGCAGGCAGCGGCACCCCACTCCAGTGCTCTCGCCTGGAGAATCCCATGGAGGGCGGAGCCTGGTGGGCTGCAGCCCACGGGGTCGCTAAGAGGCGGACACGACTGAACGACTTCACGTTCACTTTTCACTTTCATGCATTGGAGAAGGCAATGGCAACCCACTCCAGTGTTCTTGCCTGGAGACTCCCAGGGACAGGGGAGCCTGGTGGGCTGCCGTCTATGGGGTTGCACAGAGTCGGACACGACTGAAGCGACTTAGCAGCAGCCGCCACCTGGAGGGTCCTTATGCCATTTCACCAGGGCTAATAGTTAAGAATTTTTGAAGCCTCAATTTGGGTGACGCCTCCTCTCAAAAACTTTCTATGACCTGCCAGTCTGGTTTTGACTTCACCCTTGGCTCCTGGTGACCTGGACATGCTCTAGCATTGCCTCCTGTGTTATATCCACAATGGACCATTCTATGAACAATGAGCTCTTTAAGGAAAGGGATTATAGATTTCCTACTTTTATTTCCCCAGTGACTAACACATAATAATCTCATATATTGCTGGAATGCAATTAGGAATCCAAAAATGGTAAAAAAAAAAAATTAATAATAAACATGTATCTACCCTATGATCCAGTGATCATATTCTGAGTATATGCCCAAAAGAAATGACTGCATCGTTCCCAAAAGGACATGCACAAGCATATTTATGGTATCCTTATGCGTAATAGCTATAAATTGGAAATAATTCAAATACCCATCAGTGGTAGGCTGTATGGTGTTACGTTCATACAATGAAAAACAACAGTAAATAAAGAATGATGAAATACTGCTAAATATAATAACATGGATGACAGCCAACAGATATAAAGTCCAGCAAAAAAAAAACAGACACAAAGGAATAAATATTGTGTAATAGTTATACAAGCAGATATTATTAGTCTATTGTAATGAGATGAGCAAAACTAATTTATAGTGATAGAAATCAGAATAGTGGTTGCCTTTATAGGAGGGTGAAAGAGATGATTGCAAAGGTCCTTGAGGGAACCTTCTAGGGTGCTAGAAATGTTTTATGTTTTGATTTTTGTTTTGGTTGTATAGGTGTATAAATAAATAAAAATGTATCATTATACATTGAGATTGGTTTGCTGTTTCTACATTATACATATTTACACATTTACTCTTTACATACTGTTTACATGTTTATACATTAAGATTTGTTCACTATTTACTAATCAGTTTGCTGTTCATGTTATACCTCCATAAAAAAATTAAGAAATAGAAAAGAACTCCATAAATACTGTTTAATAGAAAAATAAAATGCGAGAGCTTTTAGTGTTGGAGAGTTTCATCTTAGGTTATTTGTTTATTAAGTTTTTATAATTCTGAGTTTGATTATAAATATTTAAAATGTGAAACTTTGGATAGTGGTCATAAAGTTTATTAAAGGTTTGTAATTCATATATGTCTTTTTAGGTTTTATCTCAACTTTGTTACTGAAGAAGTAGAAAATCCTGAAAAGTAAGTGTTTATATTTACTGTGAAATATTTATAAGGAATAAAATGTAAGGTTATATGGTTAAACAGTAGACCTAAAGAAGGAATTCAGTGGGGGCTAACTTAGCTTTCTCATCCTCATCATCAGTGTCTTGGGCAGTAAAATGTACTTGATTTTATCATAAGTTAGATGTAAGTAACTTTATTGTGTATTCTACATCCAATATTAAATTGCCTGATCACCTGAAAGCATAAAAGAATAGATTTATATTTTAGCTAATTCATTTCTTAAAAATATACATACAACTTAAAATGGACTCTTGGTTGCTCACAAATGTTCCATAATTTGTGAATTCCAAAAATTGAGTATTTCTAGTATTCATGTGAATTTTTTTCATAACTATCCAATTAAGGAGAATGATGTAATTAATGAACAAGTAGTTATGAAAGCCTGTAAATAGCTGTAGAATATCATAGGCACTTGTAACTTTGAGGAACTGGATGAGTGCTTTTACTTTTTGTTGTTGATAAAAATCATCCTTTTATAATTAGGTGGCATGATGGTTTACATATGTTCCAAAATGAATTATTTTTAATCTAGAACTTTGAAAAATGGATTTTTATGATTTGTATAAAAAATGGACTTTATACAGGAAAATCACATAATCTATGGTCAGAAAGTCAAAAGGACAATATGAGTAGTACAATGTAAGATAAAGACAGAATTTTGGAGCTATTTAACTCATCTGACTTATTAAACATCTGCCATGTTCCAACTATTGTGCATCATCTTACATGATGAATAAGACTTGCATTCAAGATTTTATTGTCTAGGCATTGAGTCAAATATGTAATCAAATAGCTGTAACATGGTGTGATTGGTCCCACAGTAGATTATTTCCCCAGTCTGATAGAGGTGAAAGGAGGAAATATTTATCTATAGAGATGTTGCTTATACAGAGACTCAAATGATGAGTAGGTGATCCTTGTTGTTGTTTAGTTGTTAAGTTGTGTCCAACTCCTTTGTGACCCCATGGACTGTAGCCCGCCAGGCTCCTCTGTCCATGGAATTCTCCAGGCAAAAATACTGGAGTGGGTTGCTATTTCCTTCTCCAGGGCATCTTCCAGACCTGGGGATTGAACTCATGTTTCCTGCATTGGCAGGCATATTCTTTACCACTGAGCCACCAGAGAAGCCCCTGGTGTTCCTTAGGTAATAAAGGAGAGAGAGAAAGGAAGATAAAGGGAGAGGAAGGGACAGACTTTGAAGACAGGGAAACAAGTACAAAGGTGAGTCAGTGTGAAGTAACCTGGACTTCAGAGAACATGCCTAAAGGGTTGACAATTCAAATGAAGGTAGACTAAAGTTCTGGCGGCAAGTATATTGGAAGCTGATTAAATCAGTACCAGAGTTGTCAAAATTTTGGACACATAAACCAGTGCGTGTGCATGCTAAGTTGGTTTAGTCACGTCTGACTCTGCAACCCTATGGACTGTACACGCCAGGCTCCTCTGTCCCTGGGCTTCTCCAGGCAAGAACACTGGAGTGGGTTGCCATGCGCTCCTCCAGGGGATCTTCCCGACCCAGCAACTGAGGTTAAAACGGTATTTCATACTATCTGATGTAACCTTTATACAAATTACTTTATGCAAATTTAAACATGTGAAAGATTCTTTTATTGAGAAACATAAATTTGTAGCAATCTTTTTATCTTTATAACTAGAACTGTGGTAGAGAACATATATTTACCAGAAACTAGTTCTTTCTAGCATTACTCTGAAATGATAAACTACATTTTGACTCTACATCTGTTGATTACAGAGATAAATAGGTTGCTCTGTTGTTTTTTAAATAATTAGTGTGTGGAGAAAAGACTTCTCTTACTAGATTTCATGTAAAGTATTTATTGAATTTGCTTTGTGTTAAAGAGATAGCTATGGTTTATGGCTGTCTCTTTTAGGTCTAAAAACATTTTAAGAGACCTATTGCTAAAATCCATTATCAGAGATAATTTCTTACAAAAACAAGGGCAAACTGTAGGTTTGGATGTGAACCCATAATATAACATTTATGACACGGTACCTCAGTGGCATGGAGATAATTCATATTCTTTTTTTAATGTTATTTAATAATTTAAGCATAGGTTTTGTTTTCAGTGTATAAAACAAAAACTATTGTGCATTTTAAGCATATTTAAGACTATTTATGCCATTATTAGCTTGATCTGAATTTCTGATGTATCCTGTCAGAGAGAGATGCCAGTCAAGGATTCTGTTTCTTTCCTTTTCTTTTCCTTAAAGAGCCTTAGTTTCACACATAGATAATGTCCACGATCAATATATAAACAAAGACTAAAGAACTTTGATGTATTGGTTCAGTGATTTTTTGTCATCATCGTTGTTGCAAAGAGATTTCCTCATCTCAAAAAGTAACCATAATAATGACACGTGCCTTATTGGATTGTAGTAATGAGTTGATATGTATAAAGTATGTAGATTAGTGACTTATTTTTAATCTCTACACAATTGATGGTTGCTAATAGTTTTACATTCTTACTTTTGAAACAAGGTAAAATGTTACTCCCATAAGAATGTTTTTTAGTTCTCAATATATCCTAAGCAATTCTTTTTCTCTGGTGTTTTTGAAAGAAATACAAAAAAATTATTTCATACCATATTGAAACTTGTATAAGACTAAGGTTGTTATCACTGGTTACATTGGATGAAATATTGTCTTTTATTGCAAATCATGATTCTGCAAATTTCATTAACTCTTCCTAGAATATTTTTAATTTAAAATTATATTTTAAGATCTTAAACTAAGGAACTTTTCAGGAGAGAGTACAGATCCCTAGATTTTTAGCTTAAGATTATGAGTGACTGCCAAGACTTCAGTTGAAGAAAGAAACTTTTGATTTCTTTCTATTCTTTTATGTTAGGTACTCAGATATTCCATTTTCGCATGGAGGATTCTTTGTAAAACTCAGACAACACATTTATTTTCTCAGAATCAGAATATGAGAAGTCTGTAGAATTCCCTTAATAAAAAGTACTATGGAAAGTATTAATTTGTAATATTTATTTATCAACGAATATTCAGTGTATTAATTTTAAAAATAATATTCCTCTGAAATGTTGACAGTTAGTCCAAGTCTTTTAAAACTAAGTCTTATTTTTTTAAAAAAAACAGACTGCTTTGGGAAATATTGATGGTTGAATATAGAGAACAGATGGTAAAATTATGTGGACCTTGTCCAGCTGTGTAATTTGTATTATTTTGTAGGGAGACACAGTTCCCAAATACCTTTAGTTACAAGGGAGAATAATTGTTATTCCCTCTCCTTTGTGACGTGCCGAGATAAATCTGCTCCCCAATTAGTCATGGCTGCGTGTGTCCAGGTGAGCTGTAACGGGCAGCATTCTGGCAGCTGGTGAAATGAATCATCACTGTCCTCTTCCACCTAGGCAGTATAATCCCCCTAGAATTGTGACCTGATAGAAAAAGAGATCATTAATTTAGATAAGTGAAAATAGTGATGTGATTTAAAAATATAGAATGTAGAATAAGCTTTCATGATCGCACTTAGTTACCCTTTACATAGAATTTAATTTCAGTGGAAATCTTTCAAATTAACTAACACTGCTCTATGGAATAATTTCTGAACTGCTATTATGACTATGACTTATAGAACAGTTCCTTAATGTAGCAAATGAGAGATAAACTGGGAAATTAATGGAATCTTAATAATGGAATCCAAATAGCTCATGACTTCTTTCTTAAATTTCATCTATTCTTTAAAGCTTATAAAACACTAAAATTTGGGGCAAAATTCCTGTTATATGATTATATTTGTAGTGTTAAAAAATGTTCCCATGGTGTTTCTTAAAATTTATGTTTTCTTCTCTAAAAGTGTCTTTGGATCTATGGGAAGAGTTATCATTTAGGAGTTATTAAATATTTTTATGTGAAAACACAGTGATTATCATTAAAATTTTGTAATATAAAATTATTTCATTTAATAATTATTTATAGCATGGTAACTGGCTTCACAAACAATAAATATTAGAGTAAGAATCATATTTTGAGGAGCATAAATGTGCAAAGTTTGGACCATGAAGGTGATATATAGTCCTAAGGAATATCTGAATTTTAAAATGATATTTTCCCCCCAAGTGAAGTGTGCAGTAGTAATAATTGCTAATTTGTGCTTAGAAATCAAAATGTTTTTATTGAAAATAAAATGAGTTTTTGCTTCGTGACATTACTTTTCTGGCAACTGTGCAATCTATCATTGTTCAAAAAGTTACATGGTGAGAAGAACATATCATTGAGATGTATAATGTTTGTAATCCTGCTTTCAGATGGATAAATCATGTCTTGTGTTGATGAAAGCCAAGAAATGGATTGCTTTAGTTTGACCTTGGGGGTCTGAGATTAGTCAGTCTGTCTATTAGACTTGTTCCAGTGCTCTTCTCAGTTCTTTTATTCCTTCTGTTCTGAAGAGTTGGAAATAGTAGACTTGAAGGAAGTCAGTAAGCCTTGATATCATCTGTCATTATTGAAGAGCAGGCTATCAACATGCTCTGATTAATCAGCTTTAATAGAAGGTTTAAATAATCAGAATGTCAAGTTTAATTAATACTTTGCCTGCTTTCAATTTGTATTAATTGATGTCTGAAAGTCATCACACCTTATACCAATGATAATTTAGAAGAGGAGAAATTTGGTTTGGGAAAAATGCCCAAAGACCTTTAAGGTCCTGGGATCGATCAGAGTGGTTCATAAATGGTCCATAACCATGTTATTTACATTCAGTTCAAATGATGCAGTCTTAAATTCTTAGTATGTATGTTTTTATCCTTATTGATTTGTAGTAAGCCAGAGTAAAGGCATTTGTTAATAATATTTTATGACTTTATACAGCTATTGCTTATAGGACATATGAAACTGTTAATATGATTAAAATCATAGAAAAGCAAAGCAATTTAAAAATTGTCCAAACATGCTGAAGCAAAATTGCATG